CTTTTGGGTGGCCAAGAGTCGCGGAGCTCCAGCAGAGAGCTTGCCGGTAGCTCAGGGAAGCTACCCAACGTTTGCTGCTGGATGCCGGGGGGAATTCCGTCGGTGCCGGGCGTCCGAGGGCGGGCGGGGCAGTGATGGAAAGCCGTGCGACGAGCCTGGTCTTTTTTGCAGAGCTTCCGCGGGATGCGAAAGACGAAAGCAAGGTGGCACGGACGAGCTGGGTAGCTGAGGCGCGACGATGCGATGCGCGTGGATGCAGGCAGGCAGTCAGTCCAGCTGTTGCTGATGGGGCGCGGCCCTGTGTGCTGGGTGCTGGTGCCGGTGGTGCAAAGAGCCGGCGATGTTAGCCGGGCGCGGTGCAGCGCGGTGCGGCGCGGCGCGGTGCGGTGCGTTGCGGTGCGGTGGTGCTGCAGGCTGATGCCGATGCGGGACGCGACGATGGCTCGCTCGTCGTTTCTTGCGGATCCGCGAGGGCACAGACAGACAGGCGCGGGTGTCGGCGGGATGGGCTGGCAGGCGGCTCAAGCTCTCTCTGGCCTGGCTTTCCTGTCGCTGGGCGCTTCTTCGCGGCTCCGGCTGGCGCGTGCGCGACGAGGCGATGCGAGGGCTGATGCGAAGCTGGTGCTTGCTGGCTTGCTGGCTGGCTGGTGCTTTTTGCGGGCGAGCGGACCGAGCTCGACGGCGGGCGAGGCGAGGCGCTGTGAATGGCTGGCTGGCTAGCAGCTTGCGCGCCCGGGGCAGCTCGAGCTTGTCTCTTGTGTTTTTTGGGCGAATCTGGAGGCGCGCACGCACGCGACGGAGGCCCTACTTTTCTGCTGCTTGCTTGATTCCTTTCGATCAAGTCTCAGCGTTTGAGTGGAGGAACGGACGAGCTGGATTGATTGGCCGTTGGGAGGAGAAGGGAGAAACTCGAATCGAACCGGCCGCAGCGAGGGACGAGGGAAATGCGAGGATGTGATTTGATTTGAGGGGCGGGGACGCTGAGTCTTTTAACAGCTGTGACTGGCTGATTCAGCCCCTCCGGTGGGGCCGCCGCGGTGGCTGGCGACGCGCCTCGATGATGATTTGCTGGGAGATGACGTGATGCACGGACCATCCAAGGATGCGTCTCTCGACCAAGAAGGAGCTACAGCCATTTGTTGGGGCGGGTACTTGCCCTCTAGCGCAGACGTTGGCGCAACGGCCGCGTACCGTCGCGCGTACAGGTACCCGCACGAGTACCTCTGCCCGACCAGCACAGTGCTGTACCGGTTCGGGGGCGGCGTGGAGCTGCCTGCCACGCAAAGGCCGGCCAGCAGGGCATTCATGGGCCCATGGACTGGCTGGCTGGCTGGGCTGGCTGGCCGGGCGGCTGTCCGTCAAGTCTGCATCATCCTGGGCCTGGCTCGGCGCCGACCTGCACGCGCCGATGGCCCTGTCTCACCCGCGTCTCTCACACGCTGCCCTGCCCTGCTTGGTGCCAGCGGCCCTGTTGTTTCTCATCGTCACCTCTCACTGCTCACCATCCTCCCGTCGTCACCAGAGCAATTCTCCTCTCGTCTTCGTCACACCAGCACCAGGTCGTGGTCATCCGCAGATATAATATCGGCTCGTCGGAGCGCCCCAGACCGCGGCGCCGGCGATGGCATGAAGACCTGCCGTCCGTCTCACGGGAAGCGTTCGTATTTCCCGTACCCTGTCTCTTATACACATCTAGATGTGTATAAGAGACAGCCCCCATTCCCCTCGGGGACCGCCTCGCAAAATCCCTCTGCCGTTGCTCTCAGCCCCCAATATTATGTCTCTTCAGCGGCCGCCGCGCTTCTCCGCCCCACGTCGCGAGTTCCGAGCGTGGCGTGACGGCATGCGCGCTGCGCCGGCTCGCCTTCGAGTACTCACGCACCATCAGCATCGCCGCGACAGTCGCGGAGTCTTGGTCGGTTTTCCCTGCTCCGTTCCTCTCGCCCTGCTCCACACACCTCCTCGACCGATCGCCCGCGCCTCAAGGTGGTGGTGGCGTGTGATTGTGTGCTGGCAAAGTTGGCACCAACGCGCAGTGAGTGCCCAACATGAGGAGAGCCCGACTTACACATGGTGTGTCCAACAACAGGCTCTCCCCTCTGTGCCCAAGATGTTGCGACTTTTGTCCAGTTCCCAAGTGAAGTGAAACTGGAGCCCACACTCGCCGAGAGTCTGTAGTCAGCACCTCCTCATGCTCCTCGGGTCGTATGTAAACCGCTATATTTAGCCGGGCTTGTGGTTCCCCTCCCCGTCACCCTCCCCTCCGGAGATGCTTGGTGCGGTCGTATGACGAAGGGATCAAAGAGTGCCCGCGAGGTGCGAGACAGCCCAGGTATGGGTCGAGCAGCGACATGATCTCCTGCCGCCTGGCGGCGCCAGCATCGTGCTGCCTCGTCCTGCGAGACGTCCACACACGGGCGAGAGCTTCGCGGGCGGAGCAACCTTGAGCGCCCTCGAGCCAAGCATGAGGCGGTGACAGTGTCAGGAGTCAAAGATGTCCCAGGAATTGGACGACAGGCCTCCCCCGTCTGCTCCGACACCGACACATCAATGGCGCAGTGCAGGAGAGCCCACTTGCTGCGGCGCTGACGAAACACTGCTTTCAGCGAGGTGCGGGTCAGCACGTGATGTAGCGAGGTTCAAGCTCGGTACCAGCGTCCGCATGGTGGAACTCTGGCCTGCCACGACGAGCCATGGGGACATATGCTCCAATGCCTCCACTAGCTTCGGCGACCTTGTAGCCAAAAGTCGGTGTACGAGCTCCCACGCAGTCTGGCGCGCGATGTTCTTGAACCATTGACGCGCGGGGAGGCTGAAGCAACGTCATGCCCGCTGACCCAGCTTCTGCCTCACTGACGCCTCGATGTCTTACCGGCCAGGGTCCCAGGACTCCAAGATGTGCGTTAGTTGTTTCGTACTTGGTAGAGAAAATGGCACAGCTTGGCGG